TCGGGCGATATGGGAAAAGTGTCAGGGCAAAGGTCAGGTCACGTACAACTAGGCGATAACGTCAACGTTCTTGGCTGTGTATTCAAAGTAGAAAGAGTGGTGATGGTGGTGGTGGTGGGAGGTGAGAGAGAATAAGGGGAAAAAGGTATGGAAAGATGCTATGTAGATTGGAGACTAGATGTAAAAATATCTATCTCCTTCCACCTTTGGATTCCATTTTCTAAAACTAGGGGGCGAAAACTTTCCTTCTCACTTTAAGTATAAATCTGTGTGGAAATTCTTCTTTTACCTTATATATAGATCGCCGGCTGTCGAATATCAAAGCGTCACTTGAATTGTAACACTGGTCGAATAATAAATTCTTTGAAAAGCTTCAATTTAGTTCGAGCCATATGTATGAGTTATATATTCCACTTCGTTTTTTTCTTTCAATGATTTTATTACTTTTTCATTTTTAAATTATATTCCTATTTTATTGGATAACCGTTTTTTTAGGGTTTCGTGGCCCAGGAGCGAAAGCCATATAGTTACATTTTGACGTTCGTCCGTCCGTTGTACATAAGTTTGATTACCATGGTAACAGATTCCATGACAACCGTTACCATAGCAACCGGTACCATAGTAACTGGTACCACAGTAAATAAATGGCACCAACGCACAGTGGGAAAAAAATGACCCTCTGTGGACAAAAATCTACCGACAACACAAATCTTAACCGATTTTAATATTTTTTTTTTTAAAATACTCGGAGAGGTTTTTCCTGTAAAGCACAACTGCGATAAATTTGATTTTTTTCAAACTAACCTTAAAAATGATACCTATATATGAAATTACGTTATTAGGATGGTTTAAAAAATGGAAAAATGATTAATTTTGATACAGCAGAGAGTATTGTGAACCCTTTTTGATCACTGAATGCGAATTTGACATTAAAAATGCAAAATTTTAAAATTCAAAATGGCGGATGCAATATGGCAGGCAATGTTTTATAAAAGTCACCAAATTCACTCGAAAGTTGTTATTCAGGGGTTTTTAAGGTCGCTGGTTACGAATCTGAAGTCAAATTTCAAAAATTCAAAATGGCGGATCCAATATGGCGGATAAGAAAATCAAAAACTAATTGGATTTGCTTGAAAGTTGTTACACGGGGGTTTTTTGGGTCGCTGATTACGAATCCGATGTCACATTTCCAAAATTCAAAATGGTGGATCCAATATGGCGATCAAAAAAATTTGAAATTCACTAGATTTGCTTAAAACTTGTTACTCGGGGGTTTTCGGGGTCGCTGATGACGAATCTGATGTTAAATTGTCAAAATTCAAAATAGCGGATATAAAATAAAAAATTAATAACTTTTTAAAAATTTGATCGCCATATTGGATCCGCCATTTTGAATTTTTGAAATTTGACTTCAGATTCGTAATCAGCGACCCTAAAAACCTCCAAGTAACAACTTTCATGCAAATTCAATGAGTTTTTAATTTTTTAATCCGCCATATTGGATCCGCAATTTTGAATTTTTGAAATCAGACTTCAGATTCGTAACCAGCGACCTTAAAAACCCCTGAATAACAACTTTCGAGTGAATTTGGTGACTTTTATAAAACATTGCCTGCCATATTGCACCCGCCATTTTGAATTTTAAAATTTTGCAATTTTAATGTCAAATTCGCATTCAGTGATCAAAAAGGGTTCACAATACTCTCTGCTATATCAAAATTAATCATTTTTTTATTTTTTAAACCATCCTAATAACGTAATTTTATATATAGGTATCATTTTTAAGGTTAGTTTGAAATAAATCAAATTTATCGCAGTTGTGCTTTACAGGAAAAACCTCTCCGAGTATTTAAAAAAAAAAAATATTAAAATCGGTTAAGATTTGTGTTGTCGGTAGATTTTTGTCCACAGAGGGTCATTTTTTTCCCACTGTGCAACGTAACTGGTACCGAAGTAACTGGTACCATAGTAAGCGGTACCAAAGTAATTAGTACAAACATAACTATTACCAAAGTTGCTGGTACCATAGTAACTAAATGGTACCGTAGTAACTGGTACTAAATTTACTGGTACCATAGTTACCGGTACCGTAGTAACTGGTACTATAGTAACTGGTACCATAGTAACTGGTACCATAGTGACTAAATGGCACCAAAGTAACTGGTACCATAGTAACTGGTACCATAGTAATTCGTACCATAGTAACTAAATGGTACCAAAGTAACTGGTACCATAGTAATTCGTACCATAGTAACTGGTACCACAGTAACTAAATGGCACCAAAGTAACTGGTACCATAGTAATTGGTACCATAGTAATTGGTACCAACGTAACTGGTACCATAGTAACTAAATGGTACCGTAGTAACTGGTACTAAAGTTACTTGTTTTAAAGTTACTGGTACTAAAGTTACTGGTACTAAAGTTACTGGTACTAAAGTTACTAGTACCATAGTAAATGGTACCATAGTAACTGGTACCATAGTAACTGGTACCACAGTAACTGGTACCACAGTAACTGGTACCACAGTAACTGGTACCATAGTAACTAGTACCATTGTAACTGGTACCAAAGTAATTGGTACCAACATAATTAGTACCAAAGTTACTGGTACCAATATAACTAGTACGAAAGTTACTGGTACCATAGTAACTAAATGGTACCACAGCACCTGGTACCTTAAAATATATTTTAAATATATTTTGTCCTTTTCATATCAATATATTTCCTACTTTTGCAACTTTTTCCAAATTCATCAATTTTATTTAGTGGGATCTAAATTTTATTTCATTTAAATTTTATATAGTATATGAATTTTAATAATTCGTAATCTGATCGCTAGAGAAAGTGATATCTAAACGTGAGTTAAATTATAATGAAATTAAATTGAGTTTTATTTAATTAATTTGAAAATTATTTTCTCTCTCTCTTTGAAATAAAAGTTTTTGAATCAATTTTAAAATTTCATAGAAATCAATTAGCACCATATATTATATTTAAATGGCTTCAATTATTCGGATTATTAAAAGGTAATAAAAGATTTAAAAAAAAATGTATATACATTGTACAGTGATGAAAAAGGGGAAAATAAAATTTTTAAAATTATACGAATGTAATAAATTTTTGTAGAATTTATATTTTCCCCTTTTTTTAATATGTATATATGTATATAAGACTTGAGTTACGAGGGGGAGAAATTCTGTGCCAATTAATTCGCAACCGTCGATGAATATTAAATGAGAAATTCCTTTCATGGACTTGGTTGCAAAACCACGAATTCACGGATTTACAAATTATTATTATTAATAACCAGTGCGCTTGTAAATAGCAAAATCAGTGTGACGTCTATTGTATAACAATAAATGTTCCGAGAGGAGAGCGCCCGCGACAGAGAGAGAGAGAGAGAGAGAGAGAGAGAGAGAGAGAGAGAGAAAGCTTTTGTAAAAATTATTAGCAACGATTTATATGTCGCATTCGTGAGAATATTCAAAACACTTGTGGCTATGTATATGTATAAAAATGTAAATTCTGTAAGCATTATACTGAGATTTAGGTTTTGTTATATTTTTATTAAAAAAATATGACTAAAAAATTTTTTATCATAAAAATGAATGAGAATTGTAATTATTAATTTCTCATTGCGATTTTTATGTAAAATTACAAACATTCGAAAAATCTGACTAAAACTGACTTGTACTACTGATAAAATTACAAAATTTGCAAAAAGTCTGACTTGACACTTACCTATACTACTTATTTTTTGATACGTCATTTTGTCGGACTAAACATTTATTTTTACTACTAATTTTCTAATTCATTATGTCTGATTAAAACCGAACTGTTCTACTTGCAAATTATACTTATGTTTGACTAAATATTTATTTTTACTACTTTTTTAAATTTTTCTATTTATTATGTCTGACTAAAACTGATTTGTACTACTGATAAAATTTCTAAAATTTAAACAGCCTGGCTAAATATTTACTTGTACTACTGAAAGAAGAAAAAAATTCTAATAAGGCGAACATTGACTTTTACTACTTGAAATACTTTTAAAAATATTATAAAAATTTGTTATTTTATAAGTAGTACAACTAAATATTGAGTCAAACATTTGTATAGTTTTTAAGTAGAAAGAATCGATTTTAGGCAGACATAATAAATACATAAGATATATAATATAATATTTTAAGACATTTAATAATTTAGCAAATTTTATTTTACTACTGATTTACTAATTCCGTCAATCCATCTAACTAAAACCAATTTTGTTTATTAATAAAATTACAAAAAAAAAATTAAGTCTGACTGAATATTTAAAAAAAAAATAAATAAATGTGAATAACGCTTGTAATTATAAATTCATTATATGATGACAATTACTGAAATGCTATAACACCGCAGGCGAATCGTTCACTTATCTCATAATGATGATTTTGATAGCCTAATGAATTGAATTATCATACTAAAGAGAAGTTGATTAGCACATATGGTGTTTCGTAATTATATCCAAGTCCAGCAGCTAATTGAAATAGGTTAATTAGAGACTAATTCGAATTTTTTTTTTTTATTTCTTAAACTACATTTATTTTATATTTACACTGAAAAAAAATATATTTGATTAAAATACTCAATTACTTGACTATAATCAATAATAAATATTTACTTGAATCAAATAATTTTTATTTGAATTAAATAAATTATTTTTTAGTGTATATTTATCTCCCTTTTTTCCTGTATTTAACAAAATATTCAAAGGTAAAAGCAGATCATCGTTTTGTATATTTCTATAGACTTGTGTTTTTGTCTATATATATATATATAGAGTTGTTCAAGTTCGTTGAGAATAATCAAATTCTCCCTTACTACATTATTCAATAGTCTTTTTCTCTTTCTTCTCAATATAGTTTTACTTGTTCGAAGAATTGTGTACACATATATATATATTGAAAGTGTATATCGAGAAAATGTACAACCAATTGCAATAGCGAAGCACTTACCTCTATGCTATGACGATTCCTCCAGCGCACCCACTTGTTGAAGCTGGGTCGCCAATATTCGATGAAGAATTCTTCCGTGTATTCGACGCCTTTTCCATTGCCAAATCTCCCTTGTGTTCGACTTGACGTTATTATCCTTGGATTGTGAAGATTCACTTCCAAAAATTCCTTTCCCTCACTTGTCACCATTGTTCTTGGACACCAGGCACCACCGCCTCTATCTTGTCTTAATCTGTTCGAAAAGAAAAAGAAAAATATTCGTAATTTTTTAAAAAAAAAATTATAATTTTACTTAATTATCAAAATTATTACAGAGTTCCGTGGTTCTGATCAGGTGTGGCGTTTCATTTCCTACTAGGGCCCTGATAGGGAAATTTATACACGGGGTATAAAATAAAACAGAAGTACAATTTATTTTTTTTTTAAATTTCAAAGTGGTTTGCAATTTATTTTTGTGTGTCCAAAAATTTATATTGAGTCTTGAACAGTAGTAAAACTAAATGTTCAGTCAGACATTAACATTTTTCTCATTCTATGAGTAGTACAAGAAAAATAGTGGTACCGAAGTAACTGGTACCAACGTAACTGGTAACATAGTAACCGGTACCATAATAACTGGTACCACACTAACTAAATGGCACTAAAGTAACTGGTACCATAGTAACTAAATGGCACCAAAGTAACTGGCACCAAAGTAACTGGTACCATAGTAATTCGTACCATAGTAACTGGTACCAAAGTAACTGCTACCGTAGTAACGGGTACCGAAGTAACTGGTACCAAAGTAACTGGTACCACAGTAACTAAAAGGCACCAACGTAACTGGTACCATAGTAATTGGTACAACAGTAACTAAATGGCACCAACGTAACTGGTACCAACGTAATTGGTACCTCAGTAACTAAATGGCACCAACTTAACTGGTCCTATAGTAACCGGTACCAATGTAACTGGTACCATAGTAACTAAATGACACCAAAGTAATTGTTACCAACTTAACTGGTACCATAGTAACTGGTACCATAATAACTTGTACCATAATAACTGATACCACAGTAACTAAATGGCACAAACGTAACTGTTACCGAAGTACCTGGTACCCATTAACTGCTACCACAGTAACTGGTACCTCAGTAACTAAATGGCACCAACGTAACTGGTACCATAGTAGTTGGTACTAACGTAACTGGTACCACAGTAATTGGTACCAACGTAACTGGAACCATAGTAATTGGTACCAACGTAACTGGTACCATAGTAATTGGTACCAACGTAACTGGTACCATAGTAATTGGTACCAACATAACTGGTACCAACGTAACTGGTACCAATGTAACTGGTACCAAAGTAACTAGAACCACATTAACTAAATGGTACCAAAGTAACTGGTACCAAGGTAACTGGTACCATAGTAATTGGTACCAACGTAACTGGTACCATAGTAATTGGTACCACAGTAAGCGGTACTATAGCAACCGGAACTTTTTGTCTTTAGTAAAACGAATATTTAAAAAAAAAAATTTCAGTAGTGCAGGTAAATGTTTTGTCAGACTTATAAAGATTTTTATTTCCGTCAGTAGTACAAATACTTTTTTTTAAAAATATTTACACTAGTACAAGTCAATGATCAGATAGAATTGTAAACGTTTGGTAATTTTTTTTAGTAGTTTTTTAGTAGAACAAGTTAATATTATCTCAGACTTTCTAAATTTTTGTCTTAAATAAAAAAAAAAAGTTTCTCAATATCAAATATTTTTGGGGATTTTTGATTACAGTAGAAGTAAATAATAAAATATTGAAAATTAATTACATTTTGAAAATTTTTGGGTGATCCATTTGAGTAATTCTGATTATATTTTCGTTTCGAGGACCGTATTATTATCAAGCCGGTATTTGCAAACTATATATATTCAAGAGAATTTCACATGAAAGTGTTTGCGGTTAATTAGCCAGCAGTCGTTAACAATGCCTAACCACCTTAATTACTTTAACATAATAAATTCCCTATATATATATATATATGGAATTATCTTTGTGTCTTGCAACATTTAAAACTTGCCTCAAGGGTCTCATTAATAATAATGCTTGTCAAAATCGCTGTACATAATATTTTCTCTGTGGCTTAAAATTATAACTATTCTCCACAATATATAATTATCCCTCATTTAAAGCAAAAGGCAAATTTCATATATTATACTGAAAATCAATTTTAATGAGTTATTATATCAAAAAATATTCGTTACATTTGAGAATACTAGAATATATTAAATGAAGATAAATAAGTGTCAAAAATAATTCATGTCAAATTTGAAATATATAATTAAAATTTTTGGATTATAATTTAATATAATGTTTTTTTTTGTGGGAAAATTTACTACAGACACGGAATATATCTTATTGACCTTTAATATTAGGTCTTGTTGAAGGGGAAATACATCAAGTTTCCATGAGACGTAGAACCATAACCAGTATAGCATTGTGCCATCTCATCAGTCGAAAGCCACATTAGCATTGCTAATGACCACGATCGTTACCATCACGTGCTACATTGGACTACCGCCTCGACAATTCGAAACCAAGATCGTTCGTTATTTTGCAATAGGCATCTCTTCTATATACATATATATATGTATATCTGAACATTAGCGTTCCATTTTGCGGTGTAGAGCAACACATGTCACTAAAAGTTCATATTTTGAGAATATCCCAATTTTTTTTTTTTTTAATAACGAAAGATTAAATTTTTTTATGACAATTAGAATTTATTTTTATTTTCTACATTTTTGTAATTTTATTACAGAGTTTTTAATTTTTTTTATAATTTTACTAGTAGGTCAAATTTATTTTAGTCAGATTTTAGTCGAAAATCAGTAGTAGAAGTAAAAATTTATTCCGACTATTTATTTTAGAAAAATTTTTTTCATTTCGAGTTTCTATATTTTTGCAATTTTTTGGGTAGTATAAATAAATGTTTAGTCCGACATAATGATGTATCATAAAATAAGTAGTATAGGTAAGTGTCAAGTCAGACTTTTCACAATTTTTTAAATTTTATCAGTAGTACAAGTCGGTTTTACTCAGACAGAATGAATAAAGTATTTTTTATGTAGTTCAAGTCGATTTTAGTCAGACGGAATGAATAAATTTTTTTCAAATAAGTAGAACAAGTCGATTTTTAGTCAGACAAAATGAAGAAAAGTATTTTTTAAATGAGTAGCACAGGTCGGTTTTAGTCAGACGGATTGAATAAAGTATTTTTTAAGGAGTAGAACAAGTCAATTATAGTCAGACGGAATGAATACATTAGAAAATCATTAGTACAAATAAATGTTTAGTCCGACATAATAAAATATCAAAAATAAGTAGTTTAGGTAAATGACAAGTCAGCCTTTTTGTAATTTTATTTATTTATTTTTTCATCCATCTCTAAACTGTTTCTTTTTATTTCATTTTTTTATTCGACAACAAAATTTAATTCCTCTTTTTTTTCTGAATTTCCATTGTAATACATCATTTATGAACTTTTCTTTTTTCTTTTTTATTCTTCTCTTTTTTAAACACTTTTTCCTATTTCATTCAGTCTCTTTTTCTCATTTTCTCTGAGTAATTCTTTTGTTTTTATTCATTCTTTTGAGCTTTCATTTTCGTTCAGCTTGTCTCTCTGACAACCAACACCAAGAGAAAAAGAAGGAGAAGTGAGAGAAAGAGAGAGAGAGAGAGAAATAGAAAAAGAAAGAGTATACTTAGAGAGAGGGACAAAACCTCGTTGTCTTTCCTGTTCAAGCAATTTGGAGCACTAGTCGAGACCGAGTTCTCAGTTATCCTTTCACTTGCTTCCTCCAATCGACCTTTAGCCTTCTGTGGAATTGAAAACTTCTCAACGTCTATCGCCTTTTCCAACCCCCCTCCTCCTCCCCTTCTCTGCCCACCTCTAACTTTAGCGGTGATTGCATTCTCTACTGGAACTTTAAAGAGAACCGAATTCATTCTTTAAAAATTAAGCTGCATCAGAAGACTCTCTCTCTCTCAATTTTAGAGTGAAGGTTCATTATCTTTTGAACTATGTATATATTTATTTATTTAACAAATTATTATTAGTATTATTATTATTATTAGTAGTAGTAGTATTAGTAGTAATATTATTAATGTTATTAGTATTATTATTATTATTATTGATATTGATTAGAATCTACCACTGAAAAAAATATTTTGTGTTTGCAACAAAATCATTTGGTTAGGCAATTTTTTGTTGTCGTAACCAAATGTTGGTTGTCGTAACCAAATTTTGGTTGTCGTAACCAAATGTTGGTTGTCGGAACCAAATTTTGGTTGTCGTAACCAAATTTTGGTTGGCTGAAACAAAGTTGTAGAGTTATCTCAACGAAATATTTAGTTAGGCCAACAAAATTATTTGGTTGAACTTTTATTATATTCCAAATAAAATTTGGTTACAACAATAAAATAATTTGGTCTAAAAAACCAAATAATTGTTGTCCTAACCAAAAATTAGTTATGACAGCCAAATTCAGAAATATTGGAATTGGATATATATATATATATAAATTAAACGTTAAATTAGTCATAAATAAATAATAAAATAAGGAAAAATTAAAAAGAAATAAAGTAGAGTAAAATTTTTAATTTTACAAAAAAAAGAATATTAGTTTGATTAACCAAATATTTTTGTTACCCTAGCAAAAAAAAATCAGTTATGCTAAACAAACATTTTTGTTATGCCAACAAAAAAAAACACTCAACCAATATTTTTTAGTTCAACCAAATAGTTTGGTTTCGTAAATACCAAAAAAAATTATTATTATTGTTATCTCAAGCAAATTTTGTTAGCTGTAACGAAATATTTTTCCAAATCAATTTTTCTAATTTTAATTATTTTTTAAAAAATTTCCCCTACCATATGAATATTTTGTCAACAAAATATATACATTTTTGTAATTTTATTACAGACTTTTTAATTTTTTTTTATAATTTTACTAGTAGGTCAAATTTATTTTAGTCAGATTTTACTCGAAAATCAGTAGTAGAAGTAAAAATTTAGTCCGACTATTTATTTTAGGAAATTTTTTTTCATTTCGAGTTTCTATATTTTTGCAATTTTTTGAGTAGTATAAATAAATGTTTAGTCCGACATAATGACGTATCATAAAATAAGTATTATGGGTAAGTGTCAAGTCAGATTTTTCACAATTTTTTAATTTTATCAGTAGTACACGT